TCATTTAAATTAGAAAAAATGTACTGTAATTTATCATGATGTTAAATAATACTGGGCTGATAGCACTCCCCTGTGGTGTTCCATTACTTACAATAAAATCTCTAGAATATTCCTCTACAACCTTAACTCTTATTTTTCTACCAGTGAAGAAACTTGATGTCTAATTATATACCCTCCCTACTATTCCCATTTGTTCTAATTTAATGAGCAACCCTTCTCTCCACATTGAATCATAGGCTTTTTCTATATCAAGGAATACAATTACTATTATTTCTTTCATTTTTAGTGCTTTTTCTATATCATTACTAACTCTAACTAATGCATCAGTTGTTGATCGACCTGTTCTAAATCCACATTGATAATTTCTAATGAGTTCTCATTGCTCTAAGATATACATTATTCTGCCAACTAATGTTTTCTCCATCCATTTACACATGTGAGATGTTAATGCTATCGGTCTGTAATTAGTGGGATTTGATGGATGTTTTCAACAACACCAGAAAAAGAGTCGCTAGATTTTCACTAGTCACTTTTCTGAACAGTCTCTGGAGGGTCTGAAAAGTCTGTAAATATAGCGAGGAAGTCGCTAAATCARCACCGCTGTGTTCCACAACCCGCCACCTCTCATGTCAGCGAGCMGCGTGTCGGGTCGATGACGTCACACRTYGGAGCGGTCAAATTATCGTACATTATGAGATTTTTGGGATTATTGATCGTACATCGTACAGAGTGCAAAATTATGGTACAAATACGATAATTATGGWACACCTGGCAACACTGGCTCCGGTACGCTCACTGAGTGACGTCTATTTACGGGGACGAGCCGTAAAGCGTCATCAACTTGCGATTCAGACTTCATGTTTAGATTTGTGCAAATTKTCAATATTTTGCCAATTTACCGCATTTAAATCACCTTCTAATTGTTACAACTTTCGTCGGTAAGTTATATTGGGATCATTTTTACTGACTTGTATAAAATGCAGAAGAATTTAACTCCGGACTGCGTTGAATAAGTTCGTGTTTTTAATATTTCTAGTGTACATAATGAGCGGGGGTTTAGCACCCAGCAAAAGCACAGTGTAYGTGTCGAACCTGCCGTTCTCACTGACCAACAATGACCTACACAAGGTAACTCAGATTATGTCATTTCTAAGAAGTGTTACAGTCTCGTGAAAACCTGCACATTTTGAGTATTATTTTGTGAAAACACTCACAAAAGCCGAAATTTCCCACTTTGTTTTTTTTGCAACGAAACGCATCACTGTTTGGCACTGCAGTTGTTTACTAAATATGGGAAAGTTGTGAAGTAAGTAATGACTTTCTTCTATTAAAATGATCTATAAAAATGTTAAACAAATATGTTACTGCTTGTACTTTTTGAATAGGTAATTAAAACTATTGTTTTTTTTTTCCAGGGTTACAATAGTCAAGGATAAAGACACTCGTCAGAGTAAAGGAGTGGCGTTTGTTCTCTTCCTGGACAGAGAATCGGCTCATAACTGTGCAAGAGCGGTGAACAACAAACAAGTGAGCAGTTTTAACATGTTTAATGTCTCTAGAARTCTACTTTGTTTTGATGTTCCTTTAATGCACAGGCTGTGATGCGGAAATGTGTTTTTCACTCAGTTGTTCGGCCGAACAGTGAAAGCCAGCATTGCCAAAGACAACGGGCGAGCAGCCGAGTTCATCAGGAGACGAAACTACACCGACAAAACACGATGCTACGAATGTGGGGTCAGGGCATGCTCAACCTCTTGTGTAGGCATAGGAATATTTCCGTTCTTTCCAAATTAAACTCTTATTTGTGCATTTTACATTTCATTCATCTCAGGATACAGGACACCTAAGCTATGCGTGTCCCAAAAACGTGCTCGGGGAGAGAGAGCCTCCAAAGAAGAAGGAAAAGAAAAAGAAGAAAAAGGCACAACAACCTGAACATGTGTACGTATCTTATAGCGAGACATTTCAGGTTGCTTTTTTCACAACTCGTGGCATCACGTAGGTCGTAATCCATTTCCTTTTAGTGAAGAAGAAGAAGAAAGTGAAGAAGAGGGAGAAGACCCAGCCTTAGACAGTTTAAGCCAAGCCATAGCTTTTCAGGTAAGAAAGCATAAATAGAAAAAAAATTTTTTTGGTTGCAACTTAGCAATACCATTCCCAGCACTGACAGCTTAATGAAACAAATCTTATAACTTATCAAAATCCTATCTAGACTGAAATGCGATACAAAAACGTAATATTTAAAAAATAAAAATAAACTGKGTATCAGTAGCTTTTCACAATAAAACATGAAGACTTGCCATATTTCAGCTGCTGTTTTGTTTTGTGTGCATGTGTCCTTCCAGCAAGCTCGTATGGATGAGGAGGAGAAAAAGCAGAAGAGGCAGGCAAACGAAGACAGTGCTCACGTGTCGACATCTTCAGACTCGAGAAAACCCAGGATCAAAAAGAGCGCATATTTCAGTGATGAAGAGGAGCTCAGCGACTAAAGATTTACAGACTTTTTTAAAACTGTCTATTTTTAAT